GAAGGGGAATTTTCAAACTCCCAGAACACTGGGAGAAATGTGTACAAAGAAGTGGCGATTATGTGGAAAAATAAAGAAAGGTCTGTGGATTGAGGTGGTTTGTCAATAACAAAGCATGTTACTTTACAAATAATTGTTGCTCATGACTTTCAGTACGACCCTCGTAAGACATGTTGCAAATTTTTGTCCAACATTATTAGAACAGCAAAAAAAAACTTTATTAAAATATACTAATTTCCAATTCTAACAATAAAAGAAAGACCACCTGGAACATCTTAAAAACCGTTACAGGCAGAAAGTTTAACAATGCTGGTATACAGGCTTTAAATATAAATGGGAAATTAATGGATCATCATACAATTACAGAGTCATTAAAAACTATTTCCTAACCATAGCTGATAAAATCAATACTAATCTTGGCCACAGTATACATGATGATGCTTACAAATATCTAAACTATCTGTCTCAGGCTTTCAGCACTACCTTCCCAAAGATTAAACTTAACTATATGCATATCTAACAAAATGACTGAAACATTATCAAGTTCATAATATCAAATAATTCTAATGGATATGATGAAATCTTGGTTAAAATTCTTAAAATTAGTGCCCCATTTATAAGCTCTTCTCTAACTCATATCTGCAATAGAGTTCTCTCAACTGGTGTCTTCCCATCTCAGCTGAAATATTCTGAAATAACACCACCATTTCAAAATGGGAACAGAACTAATATGACTAACTACAGACCTATATCATTACTGTCATCCCTCTCAAAAGTTGTGGACAAGGTTATATATAATAGACTGAACCAACATTTAACGATCAACAACATATTAGTAAATGAACAACATGGCTTTGGGAGCAATTCATCTGCAAGAAACGGTAAGTAAAAATTTCTTAATGAAATATTAACTGCGCTGAATAATAAAATACTAGTTGGTGGCATTTTCTGTGACTTGAAAAAAGCTATTGATTGTGTCAATTTTGATATTTTACTATTTAAATTGGAAGTTTATGGGACAGTTGGAAGGGCCAATGCATTCGTAAAATCTTACCTCAAGGACAGGTACCAGAGAGTTCTAATCAATAACTGACATACTCATTCTGAATGGGGCACAGTTAATAATGGTGCTCCCCAGGGATCTATTTTGGGACTTTTACTCTTTCTTTTATATACAAATGTCTTGCTAAATACTATAAACAGCAAATCCAAACCTCTCCTTCTCGCAGATGATACTAGCATAATTATTACTAATTCCTGCCATGTAAATCATGAAAATAATAATATTCAATGTAAGAGTTGGGGTTTTCACAGTGGTGACTATGAAGAAAGCCATCTTCTGGGAAGTTGCACCATGTAGATATTGTATTAACCGATGTTTCGGAGGAACGTATCATCTCCATCTTAAGGGTGGAAGAAAAATCCACAAGCGAGGAACCAGCGTGGGCAGGTGGTGACAACACCTATATCTACACAGCATCACATCCCAGAAGATGGCTTTCTCAAATTTACTGACACTAGATCTTGATAAGACTTATTTTATATATTTTATGACCAAGAATAACCAGGCAATGGATATGCACATTGTCCATGGCAGCAATCAGCTTGCCAAATCTACCAGCACCAGATTTCTTGGATTAATTATTGACAATATGTTGTCATGGAAAGGACACGTTGACTGGCTCATGACTAAATTGAGCTCTTCCTGTTATGCAATCAGGACTACTAAGCCTTATGTCCCAGGAAACAATGGGAATGATTTATTTCTCATACTTTCATTCTGTATTGACTTATGGTTTGATCTTCTGGGACAAGTATCCCCAAAGTATCCTTATTTTTAGGCTCCAGAAAAGGGTAATTAGAATCATCACTAATTCTAAGAAAAGTGACTCTTGTGGGGAATTGCTTAAAAAACTGAAAATTTTGCCCCTCCAATCATAGCATATATTTTCTCTCTTGTTATTTATAGCCAAAAACAGAGAACAATTTAAAACAAACTCTCAAATTCATAGCATTAGTACAAGGCACAACAATAACCTTCACTATCCTACAAGCAATTTGTCAGCATTCCAAAAAGGAACATACTATTTTGGTATCAAGGTTTTTAACAGCCTCCCTCTTAGCATAAAGAACATAGCTCATGATAGTAAACAATTTAAATTTCATTTAAAAAGATTTCTACTCCTAAATTCATTTTACTCACTGGAGGAATATTTTAACCACAATATTGATTAAAGATCCTGGTTCATTACACTCTTAATGAATGGCAGCATATTTCATACTTGGTTATTGCAGTGTTGTTCAGTGATAGTTTGATGTATGCTTGAAGTCACACACATTGCACAGCAGTTGTCTGGACAATATGTTTGAGTGTGTTTGTCTAATTGTACCCAGGCAAGCCACGTAATGTTTTGTTGTCACTGTTTATTTTA